CTTAAAGGGAGGGAGCTCCTAAGACAATCTAAGTGCTTGCTTGCTCGGCCAGGGTGGTGGGGATACCCCCCCCCCCCCCAATCGGGAGCTAGGGTTAGGGTTAGGGGTTCGGTTAGGGGGTTAGGGTTAGGGTTAGGGTTAGGGTTAGGTTTTTTTTGTAAACTACTCGTTATTTTCAGTGAATATTGCTTTTGTTTAGCTAAATCATGCATCACTTTATAGACTAGGGTCGCTTAGACTTAATACTACTTGTATCAATATTGTATAGATAGGTAAACCCAATACTAACGATCCGAACGGGGGGGGGGGGGGGTCAATGGTTACGCCACTGCCGCCTGTAAAATCTTGAGCAATGACATGACGTAACACTCCATTCCATTTCATTTGGTACAGGAAAGCTACAGCTATTGGACTTACCGACAAACGTCATATAAACCCCTAGTAGAGTATGTGATGTGTCAGATAGAGCTCCATTATAAATATCGAGATCTATAATCTTGGTTTCATTCCCCATCGTTCAGCTAGTACAGGTGGTGTTTCTAGAATATAAAACATTACTTAATTCCGACTCCAGAGAACTACCACAGTGCTCAGTTCTGTCAGCTAGTCAGTCAGAGAGCCTGGAGCAATAGCAGTCCGTTCACCAAAACTCTCGTCCAGACCATAGAAAAATCGGGAGTAAAAGTAGTATAGTAGTGGACTCCTCCAAAGTGAAGTTCCATCAGGTGTTTCGAAAAGAGTAAGTAAGTCTGCTTCGCGCGATACATCCGGCACTAATATATAGATACAACCAGATCAATTCATACCTGACCAAATCAGCCAAAATACCAGAAACAGATTTATTGTATTTATCAAGTAGTTCTCAATAACGACCATAAAATGACATGACATTTGAAGTTTGTGTGTCAAATAAAGTTATCAACGATTATTAGACCTATTTGTTTATAAGAAGTGGGTTTTTGACTTGCCATTTGACTCCTTCTCACTTCAACCCTTCTCATATCGCCCCCTTCCAATTTGGCCTTATCCCGAAACGGAAAAGAGGCCAATCGGGAATAAAACCCTTCAGAATCTGTTCAAATTAAAATGGCCTCCAACTGTTGGAAATTAACGTCATTTCAATTCAAATTGTGTCTGGTCGATTTCAAGTTTTCGAATGTAATTTGACATACTTTCTAATTTAAAGTTCAGGAAAATACTTTGAAGAAATTGGAGATGTCAATTGTATGCAGATGAGGCAAAATTAGGATGTGAAAATGTCTGACAAAATTCCGTCCCAACTGGTTGTTGGTATTGTATTATATCTAAAACCATCAATTAGTAGGCAGCTTCTTAATTACACGCAACAGGAAGGGACTTATTATTGGTGCCAGGATATCTAATGAAAATGAAATGAATGGAGTTTTACGTCCTACTTTTCTGCACCATGTACCAGGATATCTAATGAAGAAGAAGCAGAATATATCGGGGTTGATGTGGCATTTCTATAAAGGTGAAGGGGAGGGGTTGGGTTATAGAGGTCATAGAGAGGTAGGGGGAGGGGGTCTAAAAGTACCCATCCTCCCCAATATCAAGTCATTACAAACTTTGTCTTATACCTTGACTGCAATAGCCACTATACTTGTATCACGGAAGTTTGTCAGGGAAATTTTGCCAGGACAGCGGCATTAGCCTGATCTTTTTCGATCCAACTGTCGAGGGATCTTTAAAGTGCACAGCCTATAGCACACGGGGGCCTCGGTTTATTGTCCCATCCGAACGACGAAGTCAATCAGAAGCGTGTATATAAACAATAAGCCATAATGTTTACAGTTCCTCGTAGGAATGCCACTGTTAGTCCGATACATTTTAACGAGCAGGGTCCTTCGCATCTAATCCTTGAATCAACCGAATTCTTTTTAACTTTCCTACCCCACACTCTTATCTAATGACAAGCTGTAAAGGTAGATAATAGCACCATTTCACTGTCCAATCGCTAATTAGTGTATGGCTTGTTATCCCCTAATTCATATCAACTAATACTAGGAAATAATTATATATAATTTCACTTGGCTGCTAATTGACACTCTGACTCGCCATTTGCTATTTGTCGGAAGGTATAATCGGTATTGTCCTGAAGAAATCTAGTGTATCCTATTGTATAAACAAGACGTTTAGGATGAAAATCTGTATGTTTGATATTTTAATAAAACAAATAAAACAAGGGAATATATTATGGTATAATACACTTTTTTTAATAACAAAATACATAACATCTCAACATAATTTACATATGTCAACAATAGTGTTGAAAATTTCTGGACTATGTTATTAAAGAAGTGTGCTATATCATAATATATTCCCTTGTGTTTTCTGTTATATGTGCTCTCCGTTTATAATATCGTTCAAATCTTATTATGGAATTTTGTTTAAATCTAAAGGGGCACTCACATCATAGCGAGTACCAGTGGCGTGTAGTTGCGAATAATAAAAGTGGTCATGAGTACCGAACTGGGTTGCATCGAGTTGCGTTCGAAACGGGCCACACATCAAATCCAATCTATATATGGCATCTGCCAAGTTAAAAGAATAACCATATGTAAAAAAAAACCTATTTTTGGTAATAAAAAGACAACAATGATGAAAACACATGCCATTCCTTTGATTTATTTCATAGAAACATTCTATAACTAGCATCACATCCAGCCAGGTGTTCGTGGGGTAACATATGGCAGACAACGTTCAGTACAGTACTAGAGTACCGTTGTTAAAAATATTATCCCCTTTTTAAATGGTCTGAACATCCAATATCATTAGTAGAATTTCTCAAATTATCCAGCTTGTCATAGAATGATCAAATTATACATGTCTTTATTTTTAATTACTCTTACAAAGCACAAGGTTACCAGGAGTGTTATGAGTTAAGTGATGGATTACAGCAGTTATATTACAGTCAAGTATCTGAATCATACCTCTGTTAAGCACCTCCCTCCAGGAAGCTACCTATTTTGAGCAATGTTATGATATGAATGTTTCCATCATCTATTAATTAACCGATTATTAATCGGTTAGTCGATCGGTCAAACCTGTGTCAACCGATAATCGATTATGATTTTCAACCGATTTCCCATCACTAATATCTATACCAGGCCTTGGTTAATAGGTAGTCAGTGTAGTAGACTATTAGTAGGGCACTGGATCTTTTAGTTCGAGGAATCCAGGGTCCTATTCGCCCTCGTTTACGAATTTACTAAGGCAATAATTAAAATGCACTCACCTATGAACCAACCTATTTGTATTCAATGATCATTTCCACTCTACCCAAGACCAAATAAGATAGTCTAGAGTTAATCGAGTGGGATAAATTTACGCCATTTTGTCGTTGTTCCCACACGCTTAAAATTCAGTAAAACATGTTGCATTTTGTAGTTTTTGACAAAGAGTGATAATAGAACAGGAATGAGTGGTGGAATATCGGGTCTCTATGCATCTCACTTCACCATATTAAATTTAATTTAAGAAATTCACAAAAATCCCTTCGACGTAGCTTTGTTTTATTTGACGTTGGACAAAAAAAATAGTATTCCCACGCATGCGCAGGTTTCGCTTATTTACAGACAAGTTTGACCATACATGATAAACACAAAATTTACGTAAATTTACTGACAAATAACGTAATTGTTGTTAAATGACATACGACCAAGATTATTTTACGTAAAATAACATAATCATTTCGTTACTGCGGAACTAACATTCTGTTAATGTAAGAAAAAAGTCCGTAAATCAACAGAAAAGTATGTATATCAGCAGAAATTTACGTATATCAACAGAAAATACAAAGTAAATTTCTGTAAAAAAAACTGACTTTTTTTACAGTGTATGTTATTAAAGAAGTGTGCTATATCATAATATATTCCCTTGTGTTTTCTGTTATATGTGCTCTCCGTTTATAAATGTCGTTCAAATCTTATTATGGGATTTTGTTTAAATCGCTATTCTTATTCGTAACCCTACACAACTGTTGATCGCTGTGCTGTGATGGTGTCATAAGTAAAAATCAAAGTTCACCTGAAACCGAAACACTGATTTTTAAATTGACATAACAAAAACAGAGATAAAAGTTCAACAACTACAATTAAAGCTATTGATGACATTTTTTTTAGAACAACGGACTGTTTGAACACATCTGTCTCAAGTCATCTGAACAAATCGACAGAAGCAAGCAAATACCATCTTCATTTGCCCATTAGGATGCAGACAAATAGGACGTAAAACACCATTCATTTCATTTGTTTGATCTAATATAATAAAAGAAAAAAAAAACAAGCTTTTTACCTTCAGAAATCAGAAAAGAAGTTGTGACTGCATCACCAACACAAGTAATATCTGTTATAATCAGCCTCTATTTACTAGTATAGTTCAGTATCCTTCCGTACTCACTGATAATTCTGATCATAGATTCACGATCTCGGCATCTAGATATACTGATAATTATCGTCACTTATAGTACTATTGTCCGATTCGAAATTACTCACATTTACACATTTCAACGTGCGTCGTGTACGTCAGTGAGCTTGGAACTGTTGGTATAAGACACGCAGTTGAGTAGAAGAGTTAGGTCATTCCTATTTAATTGATTACTTGTGACAGATAGTTTGTGTCAATGTTGTATAAGAGTAATTAGAATTATTAATGAAACACATGCGTGCTGTAGAGATTTGGGGATTTTTTTCCGAACAAAGTAAGTTAGAAGTAATAGAACTGATTTATTTTCTAAAACTAAACGTGTAATTTAAAAAGAATGTTATTCATTTCACGAAATTTTTTAACACTACCGGAAGTAAAGTTTTGCCTTGTTTTTTTGTCCTTGAAAATGTTTGTGTTTTATTTTTCAGTATGATGACATGTTAGAAATATCATACTGGACGATCCTGGATAAATGTAGACCTTGTTTCGAACATTTTAGTGAAATTGACAAGCAAAAAAAATCAAGAACTGGGATGTAAAACTCCATTTAACTTCTTTTTATCTTAAAATTGGACCCCGTTGGTTAAGATATTCTATGATTTATCATTTGTGCAAAAGTACTCTCCCTTGAATCATAACTCTCAATAAGACACGAGAATTAAAGGGTATTCCCTTTCAAGGCAGAGACGATGTCCCCTTAACTATTTCAATATCGCCCTGGATCTGCTACCCCATGGAATGGAAGACAGGTCTATCGGTTGTATTGTCTATAAGGGGTAGAATGGAAGACAGGTCTATCGGTTGTATTGTCTATAAGGGGTAGAATGGAAGACAGGTCTATCAGTTGTATTGTCTATAAGGAGTAGAATGGAAGGCAGGTATATCAGTTGTATTGTCTATAAGGAGTAGAATGGAAGACAGGTCTATCAGTTGTATTGTCTATAAGGAGTAGAATGGAAGGCAGGTCTATCAGTTGTATTGTCTATAAGGGGTAGACTGAATGGAAGACAGGTCTATCAGTTGCATTGTCATTGTCATCATTGGCCCAGGCTGGTGTAGAAAATTTGG